TTTTTTTTTTTTTTTTTTTTTTTTAGAGGTAAAAGATACTTTACTAGTACAGCGTAGGTTTTCTTTTCTTTTGCTTATTTTTATTAACTTACCAATGCAATTTCTTGGACCATCGCCAAAAGGCAAATAAGCCATAGGGTGTCTAGCAGCAACAGCATCGTCGTTGAATCTTTCAGGATCGAATTTCTCAGGTTCCGGGTAGACATCTGCGTCTCTTTGGATTCCATAAGTTGGCACCCACACTTTCGTGCCCTTTTCTATGCTGATCTTGGTGCCTTTGAACGTGTAATTTTCCGATACCTCTCTCATTATAAACGGTATTAGCGGGTACATTCTCAGCACCTCTACATAGAGGAGAGTAAATAATTTATGTAAATCATCGTTTCGAATGTTGGAACAACTGCTCGAATAATTTTCTTCAGAAATCAAAGTTTCGTTTTAACATTGTAACGCACCTTTGAAAAACTTGTCCAGATATTTCATCTCTTTAACTGCATCGTACGTTAAAACTCCTTGATGTTTGTCGTAAACCTCTCTGATTTCCTTACGTAATCTGTCCTGTATATGTTGGTTTAGCGCTAGTTCGTAAAGAGCGTGAGATATCGTCGTTGAGGAAGTCTCGAACCCAGCCGCGAAAAAGACAAAGGCTTGCGAGGTGAGCAACGAATCTGTTAGTTCTGTAAAGGACAATATCACCGACCTTTTATAATGATCTCATCCGATTAGAGTTATTATCAACTAAAATTGAAAAATTGCTACTAAGAGGAAGTTTTTCGATAATGGAATTCAAATTCCGAAGCAAAAATTCATGGCTCTCTTTTTACTCTTCTGCACGTTAAGATTTATCAGAAATGGACAAATATTTGTAATTCACCTAAAGAAAGTCACAGACGGTTTATTTTAAACTGTATACCTATATTTTCTAATTTCTCTGGATGGTCTCGAAGTTCCATCAGCGTGTTGATGAAATCTGGTCTGACTATTTTATTCTCTCTTCTGTATTTTATCGTGTCTCTGACCACGTCTATTAAGAATTGGTCGACTCTTGGAATTTGCAGTAGATGGCCAAATATTTCGTAAATGTTTGGCAGGAATTGCCGACAGATATCTCTGATTTGCATTCGCATGGTCTGCGTGAATATTTTTTTGCCTACTTCGCGAAATTCGCTGTTCTCATCCGAGAGAGCGTTCATGTTGATTCCAAAAGCGCAACTACCAATTACGTCGGTTGTGAATTTCCCAGCCAAATCGCGACATTCCACTGGTTTACCCGTTTCGACCACGCTGTCTAAGTATTTCTCCAGATCCTTCGAGCATTCTATTACGAGAGGGAACATTTCTCTCAGCTTGCCTGACGTGAATACTGGGGAGAGTTTTGCTCTCATTGGTCGCCATCTTTCCTCCTCCAGAGCGAACAGATGTTCTCCCAGTGGTTCTGCCTGAATAAAATCTTTTTTTGAATTTTTCTTTCTTTCAAGAAGTGAATATTAATATATTTCCTTTTACGCGCCAAGTGGCGTGAAAGTATCGGGCAATCAACGAACATAGAAACAGAAATTCGTAAATTAATTATAATTTTCAAGTACCTTTGGAAACAGGCGGAGACCTCGGTTAACGAATAGAGGAAAGTCCTTGATGAGAACGTCTTTGACTAATTCCAGATCTTTAACAACGAGGATAGGCGTCGTTCCCTCGAATATTCCAAACATTGGCTCTTTCTTATATTCCTCGTAAAATTCTCTCAGCTTATCGGCTAGCGATACTCTTCTAAGTAAAATATCTTTGAAATTACCAATAAAGACAGTAGGTTGCGGTCCGAGTATGCCACGAATCTTCCAGTAGTCAAATGTTGAGGTATAATAATAATAGAACGCTAAAAGCACCGCGCCAATGACACAGACAAGTTGAAAATAATCCATGTTGTATCACGCTTTCTGTAAAAATCAAATTTCACTGATCAGAATTGACTGGTTACAGTAACTTCTGCTTCTTATAAAGTGGTTAACTAAAGTCACACGCTAAACGCAGGAAAACAAGCTAACAATTAATAACTAGCAGATTGATATCTGCGATATGTCGACTCCTCGATTAATTATCGACGATCGGAGTCTCTAACGATTAATTTTCTTTTATCGCAAACGTTAATCAAATAAATTTAAACTTTTTATCGATTATTCATTTTTATTCCATATCGAAGAACAATTGGATATCCACTCGAAAAGATCTTAAAAACTGAAACTTAATCCCAGTCTTCTTTGTCGATATTTCTTTCTTTGTAATAAGGATTTGCGCTGTTTAACAAAATAATAGCCTCTTATCATCTTATCGAGTTTTCGTCAATTTGCTTGTCAAGTTGCTCGAATATGTAGCTCAATAATTTCTATGACGACACTGCCGTGTTCCTTTTGTCGTTCGTACCGATGCTTACTTTTGTCGTCGCCCTAGAACAATCTCCATGCACACTTTTCTTGTTACAGTCGTCATCCAATTTAAGTAGCTATACATTCGACTGATACGATCGTTTCTTCTCCGCATGTGTCACACTTATTTGTTTTCTCGGTCATTCTAAGGTCGACATACGTCATCGAAGAATTGTTTTAATCAATTTATAGTTAATATTATAATAATTATATTATATCATTTATCTAATGCGAACCTCTTTATTGAGTTGACTGAAAATGTCCTAAATTTCGACTTAAATACGAGATACAAGTATTTCGGGGCATACGCTATAATGTTAAACAATTGTGATATAGAAATAATAATCAGAGCCACTTTAACGTATTCTTAAATCTCTATATCGATATTGTCATTCATTTGAAAAATACGTATCTTTTATTCCATATTAAAAGATTAAGAGATAATTAAAAGATTAAGATTCCATATTAAGATTAAAATTTAGTACAAACAAGCAGTGCAGCAAGTATACGATACTTTACGGTATTCACCTTCGCTTCCTCGTCTATCTTTATTTTATTTATTATATAAACATGACCCCACAAGGAAATACATTTTAATTTCATCCGTAAGATAAAAATAAATCATTCGTTTTGGTAAAACTTTGATAGCTAGTTCTCAGCAACAAACAGTGCAACAAGTATACAATATTTTACGGTATTCACCTTCGCTTCCTCGTCTATCTTTATTTTGTTTATTATATAAACATGACCCCACAAGGAAATACATTTTAATTTCATCCGTAAGACAGCCAAGATCGAAACAATAGCGAAAAGAAAAACTAAGGTAATCAAATTGTCAAAACGAAGGATGAAGCTAATCTCCAATGACTTTGAACAGCCGTGAACTTTAATGTAACGTAATAGCTTTGCTTTATTGAACGTAACGATTCTAACAACTATACAGTAAAGTCACAACTGACTATTAATTAAGAAAATAGGCTGCTCTCTGCTTTTAGTTCGCGCCGATTTCTGATATTTGATTATTTGTATTTGTTCCATTGGTCGAATTCAACAGACGCAAAAAATTTCTTCGATGAATAGTTGTTTTGCTCAA